AAAAAAACCGTTAAACGTGCGATCGTATCAATGTAACCATTTGTGAAAATGACGAATTTATTTATAAAAAATAAAAAAAGTATTGTGATTATTATTATTATTATTATTATTAAAAAAAAAAAACAGAATAAGATCATCCACGTTTTCGATTATTATTATTATATATTAATAATATTTGGGAAAATTTTTATAATCGAATGAAAAAGTTTCATTTATTTATTGAAAAAAAAAAAAAAACAAAAAAAATACAAAAATTTAATGAGTGGTTTTGTGACGTCATCAAAAAAAACTGACGTCAAAAAATGATTTTAATAATTTCTCAGTTTAAAAGTATGAGATAAAAAATTAATTTAAAAAATTTTAAGAAAACCGACAATTTTCGTAACATTAATTTTTTTTTTAAGCAGAAATTCGAAATTTAAAAAAAAAAAATTAATCACACACAATTGACATGTTCAAAAGATTTTTCGAGAAAAGAAAAAAAAAAAGAACAAAAAAATTGTGTAATAATAATAATAATGATGATGATGATGATGATAAGGTTAGCTTTACGTCTTCCCCTTCACGTCTTTCCCCCGAATCTCGCCTCCCGCGCCCGCGCCCCCCCCCCCCGATTAGTTTTGCCTGGTCTTGTATGATTTTGTGCCAAACTTATAAAATATATCCCAGATTACAAATACTGCCAACAACAAAAAAAAATAAATAAATAAATAAATAGTAGTTCAGACTCGTTTTTATTTTATTTAATTTTTTATTCTTTTATTCTTTTCTTTTCTTTTTGTAAACGTGTGGATCACGAGGGGGACGGGGGGTGGGGGGGAAACAAAAATTTTTCTTTTGTGTTTTTTTTTTTTTTTAAACAAAAATTATAAAAGAATTTTTTATATGAGTAATGTTGTTGTTGTAAACGAAGATAATCCGTTCAAATGTTTATTATTATTATTACGATATTTAATGTTTATACGTTTACGTAATAAGTTAAAAAAAAAAAAAAAACCCATGCTTTATTTATTTACGTCAGAATCATAATTCGATCGTAATTAAAAGTAATAAAAATAATAATAATAATAATAATAATAGTAAAATGAGTTAAGCAGAAAAAAAAAAAAATTTTTCTTAAAATTTTTCCTGACGTCTAAATCACTTTGTAATAATATTTCTTTTATTTTTCTTTGTTGTCTTTTAGTTTAAAATTGATAAAGAACATTTTCAACTGATAAATAATATCGACCTTTGACCCGAGTTAAATAAAAAAAAAAATTTATAAAAATCACATGAGAAAATAATAATGTGGAATTTTTTTTCTCGGTTGTTTAATGAATTTTTTTAAAAAGAGACAGACGAATTGTTTTTCCGTTTGTTTGTTTGTTTGTTTGCTTGTTTGTTTGTTCTACACGTTGTAATTCCTTGTTGTTGTTATTACGTTTGTAAAATCATAATAATACAATTCATGAAAAAGTAATTAAAATTTTGGAGTCGATTTTTCCTTTTTTTTTTTGCGCGCGTACGTAAAACTTTTACGGCACGTTAAATTTAATTATCATCATCATCATCATCATCGTGATTTATTATTTTCGAATTAAAAAAAAAAAAAATTAACTTTTTTCTTTTTTTTTTGGGGGGGGGGTGAGGGTGGGGAGGAAATTCACGGGAACCCGAACGATGTTTGTTTTTATCACAGAATTTTATGTTTGCGCACATACATATACTTGTCTCGCGTACTCGTTATGTAAAAAGGATTGTAATAACACACACACACAGAAGGGAGGGAAAGGAGGGAAGGGGAGGAGGGAGGGAAGGGGAAAAAAAAAAGAAAAATTCAATAAAAATTTTTACTGTAATTCATGCATTGCTTGGATTATATCCAAACATTCTTTCACGGTGCTAAAATTGGATCAAAAAAAAAAAAAAACGGTTGATTTCTTTATCCACACATTTTTTCTTTTTTGATTGTTTTGGCACATGGCTGAACATCACACCGCCAATTCTAGACAGTCGGAGGAAAACAAAACCAAAATATATATATATAAAGTTTTTCATTTTGTTTTTCATTTGTTTTGTAAAATCTTTGCTACTCGAAATCATCGACATTAGTTTTTTTACGAGTAAACGTCACACTAACACTCACGTGTGCACGATGCACAAACAGGTTACATTTTAAATTTTGATATGAAATTAAACTCAGTTTATTATTATTATTATTATTATTGACAGGAAATGCGATTTTGAAATCCGCCATTTTCCCTTTTTTTTTATACATACTATAGTAACAATAAAAATAAATAATTATAAAATTTATTTAAAAAAAAAAAAAACTGTCTGCTTATAAAAACTTTGGCGTTTAGTAGTAACAAATACTTTGTTTGTTAGTTAAACCTTATCAATGTAATACTTTTAAATATAATTGTCGGTTTCCTGATATAAATAAATAAATAAATAAAATTGATTAAATACATCAAAATGAGTTAAATTTTTAATAAATAAATAAATAAATAAATAAAGCTTAGTTTGTCTTACTATCTATCAATCACACGCGAAAAATATGTAGAAAAAAAAAAAAAAACGATAAGAGTATAGTAACTTATTTGAGTCTCAAAATTTTAACTTTTTAATTTTTTTAAATTCGAAAAGATATTAATAAAAATAATTTTAATAAAATGTATTAACTAAAGAATAAGAGCTACAAATTATATTATTCACTTAAAATTTTCAAACTCTATGAATATTTTTTTTTTTTGTATGGTTTCTATTGTTGTATTATTTCATTCAGTAAAATTCAGCAAAAATTATACAACTTGGAGAAAGTGTTATTATTATTATTATTATTATTATTATTATTATTATTCTTTATTCCAATTGTTATATTTTAACGGTTTTAAGTTTCAGTTTTATTAACTTTTCTCATTATTGTTTTGTTTCAGTAGTTTCATATCCATATATATATATAATTTTTATAGGTATACGAGTGTACAAAAAATTATTATTATTATTATTATTATTATTATTATTATTATTTTATTTTATTTTTTTTCAGTTAATTTAATGTAGAAATTGTTTTTATTTTTTATTTATTTACTTATTTATTTTTTTTTTTTTTTGTGCTTTCGGAGTTTAATTTCATTTAATTATATATATATATATATTCGCGAGTTCGTCACGGTTTGTAATTTAAATAAATTTTTTTTAACAATTGAAATAATGGTTACGTTTTTTTTTTTTTTTTTTTTTTTTTTTTTCTGAAATACTTTCGATTCGAGTTATAATAAAATAAAAAAAATTTAAAAAAAAAAAATAGTTGGATAATGCCCAACCATCAAAAGTTTTAAAATATCTTGCTGTTGCTGTTGCTGCTGCTGCTCCTGCTCCTGCCACATTTTAAAACGACTACAATATTATTATTGTCAATCGTTAAAATTAGATGATGGGTTTTTTTTTCTTTCTTTCTTTCCTTCTTTCTTTTTTTTTTTTTTTTTTTTTTTTTCATTTTATTCTGTTTTTTTTTTTTAAAGTTAACGGTAATATTACTACTACTACTACTGTGAAGTGGCAGACGTTTTAATCGCTTTTTTCTTTTTAGTAATTCGTCAAAATTAAAATTTTTTTTTTTTTTTTTACGATCGAAAAGAAATTTTTTTTTAATGCAAAATCAATTTAGAACAAATTAATTTTTTATTTTAAAAAAAAAAAAAAACATTCCCTGTCGGAGCATTCGTGATGGTTATTGCGAGTTGTAAAAAAAAAAAAAAAAAAAAAAACAATATAAATAGAATGAATATAAATAATTAAATATTTTTTTTTAAATATTGAGAGAGAGAGAGAGAGAGAGAGAGAAGAGAGATCGTTACCGGCCGGGAGCGCCATTTGTTTGACAAACAAAATTTTTTCATTTCTGATTCTCATATGTACGTATAACGAAGTGTATCGGTGAAGTAATTTAGGCATTGACAATTTTTAAAATAGATTTTCATTGAACCTTTGTATCGAATATCTTTTGAAAATTATTCCAAAAAAAAGAAAAAAATGTATTAAATTCAATCTGATATAATATTATTTAAATAGGGAAATATTGTCGGTTGTAAAAAAAAAAAAAAAAAAAAATTAGCGCAGACCTTGACGAAATAACCGCGATTCTATTGCGTGGGAGAAATTAATTTACACAGTTGGCATTTCCGATTCTCAAATCCATTCATGGCTGATCTGTTACCAACACAAAACGTTGCTACTACTACTTGTAATAATAATAATAATTATTTTTATTTTTCAATTACAGTTTTTTTTTTTTTTTAGACTCAAACGTTTATCGAATTAAACAGTATTTTAAACAGTTTTCTTTTTTTTACATTTCGTAATTGAAAAGGTAAATTATTTCGGGAACATATTTACCACGACCAGAGCATGTTGTTCCTTTTAATCAATGGCCAATCCCATGTTTCCCACCGTGTACTAAATTAATTGAAGCTTTTTTATTTTCTAATTTCAGCTATAACAAACCCCCCCCCCCCCTTTTAGGATGTTCTTTTAGTCGTTTCTAACACTGTTGATGTTTTGCACAATATTTTAAATTCAATAATACGTTGTTATTATCTAAAAAAAAAAAAAAAAAAAACAGTTTATGTACATATATATTTCACATTATAAAAAAAAAAAGTTTATGTATAAAAATTTCATGATGGACCAAGTAATGCAATGTAATGAGCATGAAATCATTTGTGCACATGGATAAATTCAGAAGCATGTTTATAATAATAATAATAATTAACAAGGAGATTTTATGACACATGAAGTGATGTTAAAATGATTTTCTAAAAACTGGATGCTTTTACATTTTACATATTGTTTTATCACACTTGCTTTGATTAGGTTTTTTAACAGTAATTTTTATTGAAAAATAAAAAAGTTCAGGTATGTTATATTTTGTTAAAAATAATGACACTTATGCAATAAAGTGAAAATTAACATTACTAAAAATTGATCACTAACAATCCTAAAGTTTCATAACAATGATATTATTTTTAATCGAATCACGAATAGTTACATTAAAAACATTTTCTGTTAGTGAACAATGACTTTTATGGCATTTTTTAAAATTTTATATAATATATTATATTATTTTATAATTTTATATAACAATCAACTTGAAATCTTTTATAATTTTAAATATCGAGTAAAAAAAAATTATTTTTATACCTCCAAAAAATTTCAATAACGATAAAGTATAAATAAAAAATATATGTGTGTGTAAAAATGTCAATACAGTATAAATGATAATTTTTTGTTTATCGAAGTGAGTTTTTATATTGACTTATGAGGGTTCTTTAATTGATCTCATCAGATTCGAATTGATTTGATTCTGGTTTTTATTATTATTTAATTAAATTATCTGGTTGTCATAATTTGTTTTTTTTTTTTTTTTTTTTGTTAAAAGAGAGTGAATATATAAATTATATTTGAAAAATTGTCACAACCTAATTAAATTTAATTATTGTTTTAGGTTGGGGCCGGGATGGCTATGATAGATGGCCGGCCTGCCCAGTATGGGATCACCCTCAAGCAGCTGCGGGACCTCATGGAACACCGCGGCAGGGAGGGTGTACAAAAAGTCAATGAATATGGAGGTGTACAGGAATTATGTAAAAAATTATATACACATCCAAATGAAGGTTTGTTTTTATAAACATTATTATTATTATTATTATTTAAATTATTTATAATTTCAAATGTATTTACCTCAGAGTTTAAAAAAATATAAAAAAAAAAACTTGCCAACATTTTAATTTTTACTGTATATCTATAAATGTTTTTTTAAAAGCTAAATTTTTTAACCATAAAAATTTGTTTTAGAATGTACTATTTGTTGTTTTATTATTTTTACTCATTTGAGGAAAGTCTAAAAACACAATAATAATAATAATAAATAATAACTTACAGGTTTCAATTATTTATTTATTTGTATGAAACAATATCAGTTACATATGAAGTCTTTTAAAATAATACATTCAAAATATTTAGAATATTTACATTTTTTTTACAAGCTACTTTTTACACTACTACATTACTAAAACTAAATTGTAACAAAAAAAGAAAATTTGACTAATTTTAATTCGGAAATGAGAAGAAATCGTGACTAAAGATTAATTATTATTTGAAATAATAAACGAAATAACCAATTATCCATTGTTTTGTTCGTGGTATAAAAATTTAGGATATTGCCTCTCAATACACAAATAAATTTTTATTTAGTTTTTTTTTTTTTTTACTTTGAGTACTAAACATTAGAAAATCAAAATCAAAAAAAAAAAAAAAAAAAAAAAAAACTTGTATCGCTTCCAACACCTTTTTTGGTAACAAAGTAATTTTCATTCTTTTCTTTAAAAGGTAAACTTTATACGTCTCGTTGGAAGGTTAAATAAAAATAATAAAACAAAACAAAAAAAAAACCTTTAAAAAGAAAATTTCATTACCAATTTTTTTTTTTTTTTTAAAAATTGAATTGAATTTCATTTTATTTTATTTTATTTTATTTTTTGTTTTATTTTTTTTTTTTTGTGTGTGTTTCTTCAAGGTAAAATTAATTTTTTGACCTTTGAAATAAAATATTTATAG